TTTCGCTAGGGACATCCTCGAAATTATGAAAATCGATGGCACCCAAAACCACATAGGAATTTCAACATTCTAACATAAAACCTTCAAAACCACATTGTAATTTCAATGGTTTTCACTTCGATTCTCAGAGAATGGCGGTTTCGCCTGAGACATCCTCCCAAAATCGAGCCCCGACGTACCTTCTGGTACCCCAGACCCCGCCTCGGAGCCTCCTCGGGGGCTCCTGAAATCTCCTGGGGCCTCCTGGGGCTTTCTGTACTTTCTGGCACCCCAGACCCCGCCTCGGAGCCTCCTGGGGGCCTCCTGGAACCTCCTGGGACCTCCTGCGGCCTCCCGGAGCCTCTTGGGGCCTCCTGGAGCCTCCTGGGGTCTCCTGGGGCCTCCTGAGGCCGCCTGGGGCCTCCTGGGGCCATCTGGGGCCTCAGAACTACATGCACACACAGAGACACAAATCACATCCAACACATCACACGCTAGACAAACATAACACACACACACACACACACATACACACAACACCTGCAACGCACAGAAAACACGCACAACACAGAGCACACATCACACACACCCACACACAACACTCACAATCCTGTGGCCTCCTGGAGCCTCTTCCGGTATCCAAGTCGGGCCTCCTGGGGCTTCCTGGGGGGCCCTGGTACACACATCGCAAGGTGTGGCAACCCAACTTGCGCTCGAGTGCCACCTCGATTTTTTTGTATTAGCCTGGGCACACACGTGCCACTTGTATGTCATAGGTGCGCATCCGCATAACCCATGTTAATATAATGAACATACGGCCAGACCTGTGTTTGCTAATGCAGAAAGTACGTATGGAAGGATCCATCCCTCGGATAATCACAAGGCGATCCCAAGGAACCCTTAAAGGATTTGGAGGAATATCACGGCAAAGGAAGGCGAGGAGGGCAAGGAGGGGAGCACGAGGAGGAGGGCGCGGAGGGAGAGCAAGGAGGAGGGCGAGGACAGGGAGGACGACGGGGAGGGCGAGGAGGGAGAAGAGGAGGAGGAGGGCGAGGAGAAGGAGGGCGAGGAGGGGAAGGACGAGGACAGGGAGGACGAGGGGGAGGGCAAGGAGGAAAAGCGAGGAGGAGGGCGAGGAGGAGAAGGACGAGGAGAGGGAGGACGAGGGGGAGGGCGAGGAAGGCAGCACGAGGAGGGCGAGGAGGGAGAGCGAGGAGGAGGGCGAGGAGGGGAGGGACGAGGAGGGGGAAAACGAGCTCTTTTGCCAGCCGAAAGCTTCGAGGGGGGCGGGAGGCCCATCATTAGAGACCTTCAGCGGTTATGGTGGGAGCTATCAGCCGATGTAATTACATTCAATCCAAAACGAATGGAAGCGCCCGTGATGTATTATCTCACCTGTGCATCCAGAGGGCGGCCAGGATCCAGGATAGGCCAGTCGGGCGGACGGGCGGCGTCCACGCGGACCACAGCTGCAAGAGGATCGGGCACCAGCGGATGCGACCGAGGGCCTCTCCCGTGATGCCGGGCGCGTGGGGACGAGCTGGGGAAACCAAAAGGTGCGGACACCGCCAACTACTCCCGGACCTCTCCTGAGGTGCGTTCTGACCAGAACTTCGAGGCGGGTCCAGCTGTGGCGGCGAGAGTCTCCCAAGAGGGACAAATATGAGAAAACGAGACAGCGGTGGCGGTAATGGCACCTTCTCTGCCTACCTACCAAACCACCCCAACCTGACCCGAAGACTCAAGTTTCGGATTGGGGGGGTACGGGTTTCACGTGTTTTTTCAATGTTCCCCGACGCCCCCCCCCCACTGGAAATGGAGGGCAAAATGGGGCCTTCGGGTTGGGTCGGGGTGGTTTGGTGAGTGGTGTTTCTCCTCGTCTGACGAGCGACGCCGCCTCACATGTAGCCCCCGAAGGTCTGCGGCGTGTGCATCGCCGGGGGCCTCCCGGGCGGCGGGGGGGGGGCCAGGGAGGGCAAGGAGGGCGGGGAGCCGGCGCCATGGGAGAGCTCGGTGGGCGCCGCGAGCAGGCAAAGGAGGACACCAGCGTGCCGCGCGCGCGCGGGCGTACAAAACCGGAGGATGATGCAGCGCGCACGTGCACGTGCCTGACTACCTACCAGGCCACTCCAACCCAACCCGAATATCCAAATTTCGGGTTGACAGGGTGCGGGTTCCACATGTATTTTCTCAATGTCCCCGGCGCCCCCCCCCACCAGGAGTGGAGGGCAAATTTGGGCCTTCGGGTTGGGTTGGGGTGGTTTGGTGGGTGGTGAGTGCCTGCTCGATTTCTCCGCACGGGCCAGCTCGAGGGGGGAAACGTCATCCTGGAATCGGCGAGATGCATCGCCAATGGATCGACGAGAGGCCCCCGAGAGCCAATCCGCCCGGTCCTGGGCGCGGCGGGCTATCAGGCCCCTGTCGGCGATGAATGGGCGATCGGGGGTCGACAAGCTCGCGCCGTGCGGGTTCTCGTACCCGTGCGACCTGCTCGCGCGCACGCGGGGGCGCGTACTCGAATCGTGCTTTCCGACAAGCGCTGGAGACTTGTCAAAGGCTGCGAATACAGACTCGCCAGCACAACAACCAGGGAATTGCTCATCTTCGTCGATGAGCGTTCAGCTGCCGTTGAAGTTCAGCAGCCATGAAAGAGAGAGAGAGAGAGAGAAAAAAAAAGATGGGGAGGAGGAGGGACGCAAATTATGGCTCCCAGAGAACTGCGATTTCCCCTTAACAACCTGGGAATTCCCCAAAATGGGATTCCCCCAACTTTCTGAGAATGATGAAACAATAATCGTCGAGAAGACTGTAGATGAATGTTAGAAGTGTACGGGAGGTTTCTGGGAACCTCCTGGGATGCTTGGTAAAAGCTGATTAAAAGCCTCGTGCAATATCACTGAATGTTGATTGAAGTCTTGGGGGAGGCTTCCTTAGCAGCATTAAAAAGGCTACCAAGAGGCTTCCTAAAAGCTTCTGGTTTCCGAACGGCTTAAGAATTTCCTTGTAAACGCCCAAGGATTTCCGAGAAGTTTCCGCGGGGCTCATCGGAGGCTACCGAGATGATTCCGAGAGGCTTATGGTAGTTTCCTGACAGGCTTCAGGGAGGATTCTGGGAGGCACCTGGGAGGCTCCCAGGAGGCGTCCGCGAGGTTCTGGGAGGCGTCTGATAGACTTTCGAAAGGCTTCTGGGAAGCTTCTGGGGATCCAAAAGCATGTCTGCCCTGGCTGCGCCAAAATGTTCGGAGGCTTCCTGAAAGCGTTGGGTAATCATGGCAGCTTGTCTGAAAGGGTTCTCAGAATGACTCATGAGAAAGGCCAGGGGGTCGTTGCCAGACCCGGAATCGATAACCCGATGGTCTCCGCATGGTTTCCCGTATGGACTCCCGTAGGGACTCCAGATTCGCACGTGGTTTCCCGCATGGTCTGCCGTAAGATATCCCGTCGAATCTTCCGCATTGTATCGTGTATACTGTATGGTCTTTCGAACGGGCAGCCGCATGGCCTCCTGCATGGTCTCCCGTATGATATCCCCCGTGGTCTCCCGCATGGTTTCCCGCATCCTATGGTCGCCCGTATGATCTCCCGCGTGGTCTCCCGCATGGCTTCCCGTGAATTTTTCCGCATGGTCTGCTGTATGATGCGTGGCCTGTGGTTTCCCGCATGGTCTCTCGCATGGTCGCCCGCACGGTTTCCCGTATGGTCTCCCGTATGGCCCCCCGCATGATCTACAATATGCTCTACCAGATGGTCTCTCGCATGATCGCCAGCGTGGTCTCCCGTATGGTCTCCCGTCTGGTCTCCGTACGTTGTCACGCACGTCCCCCCGAAGGGTCTCCAGCATTCTCTCCCGTATGGTCTCCCGCATGTACAATACAGTGGTACGGTTTGTGTACCTCTTTTGTTCTCTCTCTCTCTCTCTCTCTCTCCCTCTCTCTCTTCCTCTCGCTCTCCCTCTCTCTTTCTCTACCCGCCTCCGTGCCGCTGGGCACTGAATGGGCGCGTCTTCGCGTCAATTGCCGAATCCCTCAAGCATTCCTGGGGGGGTCTTCGAAAGGCCCGGAACCCAAATGAAAAAATTGTTTGGGGTTTCTCGCATCTTGTCGCGTGACGTTTTCGGACACAGGAGGGGCCCAAAACGAAGAGAGGGCCCCAAGGGGCCCCCAAAACGGTGCAAAAGGGCTCCGAGTCGCCGAACGATCACACTAAGAAGCCCAAGGTGGTCCCAAGACAGCCCAATAAGCCTCCAAGACACTCCTAGAGAGCCCCAAGAGCCTGCCCAAGAGGGCCGCGAATGCCCAAACCATTGAATGTGTTGAAAGATGTTAGGTTCCTCGGCTTCGAACGCCCGACGCTCCAGACGGCCCGAGAAGCCCCCAGGACCCCCCAGGAGGACTACGCACGGCCCCACAGGGCTCGAAAACGACCCAAAAGGCGCCCAAGACGGCCCAAGAGATCCCAAAGACAGCCCCAAGAAGGGCCCAAGAGGGGAAACGCGAACCGAAAATCCAAGTCTCCCCCCCGAGCCCCCAGAAGCCCCAAAGAGAACCACCCGAGGCCCCGAAAACGCCCCAAGGAGCCCAAAACGGCAACGAAAAGGCTTCAAAACGGCCCCGAAGAAGCCACCGAAAGGCCTTCCGCGACATCCCAACGATCATCGTGTCGTAGAGGCATATGACCCCCAAACCAAGCGCGGCGGCGGGATGGGCCGATCACACTTACATATATATATATATATATATATATATATATGTATATATATATATGTATATATACATACATACATCCATCCATCCATCCATACATACATACATACATACATACATACACACAAACATGTATACATACATATATATATATATATATATTAGAACCATCGCGCGCGCTTCGCGCGCGCGCTCAGGTTCTAGCCCAGGGCGCGCTAGAAGATCTTGGACAGAGCTGTCAAGCACAGGCGCGTGACATAAGGTCTTCGTAGGGGCATCTGAAGGGTTTCTGGGGGTTTGTCCGTGCTTCCGGGAGGGGGGAGGAATATCCAGGATTTTGGATGTGCATCGGGCACCGACGTTCACCGCGAGATGCAACGACTCATGCCGCTCACACTTGCACCGAATTGGCCTGAGCCCGCCGACCCCTTGTGGGTCTCTTGGCGTGTCACAATCCTCCCCATCCATAAGCCCCCGCTGGGTTTGGCCTATTTGGGGGATCTCTTGGGGGCCTCCTGCAGCCTCCTAGGGGTCTCCAGGGGCCTTTTTGGAGCGGAAGGGTCGGATTTTCGGTTCGGGCTCCCCCTCTCGGGCCCCTCTTGGAGCCGTCTTGGATCTCTCCTACGTCGTATTGAAGACCTCTTGGGGTGTCTTCGCCCCCTTCTCGGGACGTTTTTGGAGCCTCTTGGGCCGTTTTGGGGCTCTCTTGGGGGCCTCTTCTGCCGTCGTCACCGCTGTGAAGACCGACAAGTCGTATATGTTAAGAATATACGGTTTCCCATGCAAAATCAATGATTCTGGCCTCTTGGGACCCTCATGGAAAGCCTCTTGGGGCGTCTTCGCCGTTTCTTGGGCACTGTGAGAACCGTCTTGGGCGTCCAGGGGTTCCGTGGACACGTCTTGGCCGCCTCTTGAGCACGCCTTGGCCGCCTCCGGGGCTGTCTTGGGCTCCTCTTGGGCCGTGTTGGGAGCCTCTTGGGCCGTCTTGGGGCCGTCGTGGTGGCCTTTTGTACCCTCGTGCACGCCGTGAACACCGAAAAAACGTAGATGCAAAAATGCACGCTTTCCTATGCAAAATCAATGATTTTGGCCGCTCGGGGCTCTCTGGGGGAGCAATTTGGGGCGTTGTAGCGGTTTCTTGGGCGCAATGGGAACCATCTTGAGCGTCCAGGGGCGAACTTTGAGAGCCCTGGGGCCGTGTAGGACCGGTTTGGGGGCCACTTGCGCCTCCGTGGACACGTCTTGACCGCCTCTTTGGCCCGGACAAGAGCGTTCCCGGAGCCCCGGAGCGGCAATGGGGGGCGCAGGTACCGGCATGGCGGCCCCATCCCCTTTCCGCCGGCGCATATATATATATATATATATATATATATATATACATACATACATACATACACACATACATACATACATACATACATACATACATACACACATACATACAAACAAACATACATACCAACATGAATACATACATATACATATACATATACACATATACATATACATACACATATACATATACATTTACATATACGTATACATATACATAAACATATATGCATATGCATATACATATACATATACATATACATATACATTTACATATACATATACATATACATGTACACATACATATACATATACATATACATACATATACATACATATACATACGTACATATATGCATACATACATATATATATATGTGTATATATATATGTATATATATATATGAATACAAACATTCACACACACATATATATATATATGCGTATGCTTGTATATGAATGTGTATATATATAGAGAGATAAAATATAGAGAGAAAGAAAAGGGAGATAAACAAAATAACGAACTATCGCGCGCGCTTCGCGCGCGCTCAGGTTCAAGCCCAAGCCAGGGGCGCGCTAGAAGATCTTGGGCAGCGCTATCAAGCACAGGCGCGTGACATTGTCGTGCTTCCTGCAGCTCTTCCTGGGCCCGTTTCCTCCCCTCTCGCCCAGTCCCGTTCATCCATGGCCCCGTGGCCACCCCTCTTATCGAACCCCTTCCTTCCCACAGCCCACCATCCCCCCCCCCCCCCGCCTCTGCATGCCCAGACCACTGCCTTCTCTTGGACCACCCGGGAGACCCGCGGAAACTCCCGCCCAGTGACCACTCCAGCGAGCGGCGCGCAACAGATGCACAGTTGGAGACACGAACTGTGTATTTCGACCGCGTACGACGCCCCCCCCTAGACC